GGAGATACTAACTGACCAAGGGACCAATGTGACTTCCAAACTGATGGCGGAACTTTGCCGCCTCTTAAACATTAAGACCATGCGTACCTCAGTTTACCACCCGCAAACAGATGGACTTGTTGAACGCTTCAATAAGACATTAAAAGGCATGTTGTGGCGGTTTGTTGAGCTTGACCCAAAGGACTGGGACCTATTACTACCGGCACTGTTGTTTGCGGTGCGAGAGGTGCCCCAAGCCTCAACGGGATTTTCCCCATTTGAATTACTTTACGGCCGACAACCCCGGGGGATACTGGACTTATTGCGGGAGACATGGGAGGAGCAGGACTCCAGGGTGAAGGGTACAGTACCGTATATCTTGGACTTGCAACAGCGACTCCGGACAGTAGGGGAGCTGGCTAGAGAACCTCCTCCAGGCCCAAAATAAGCAAGCCCAATATTATAACAGAGGGGCCAAGGCCAGGACATTCCAACCGGGACACAGGGTACTCTTGCTATTACCAGCACCAGAGTCAAAATTATTGGCCAAATGGCAAGGGCCCTTCGAGGTCATATGACAGGTAGGACCAGTCGATTACGAAATTAAATTATCAGGAAAACGGAAAGACAAGCAGATCTATCATGTCAATTTACTAAAGAAGTGGAACGCACGTGAGGGTATGCTTATCACCTTACAGCCACCAGAACCAGAGCTTGGACCTGGGGAGGCGACTTGAAGGCGGAAGGGGCAACGCATATCGGGGCAGAGTTGACGGAGGAACAACACCGAGAGACTAACTCCCTTCTTCGGGAATACGAACAGGTCCTAACTACACAACCGGGTAAGACCCCCTTGATGAGCCACCATATCGCGACAACCCCAGGTAAAAAGATCCGGGACCACATACGGCCCCTCCCCAAGAAAATGTGGGAGCCCGTTCGGGAAGAGCTGCAACGGATGTTGCAAATGGGGGTGGTCAGGGAGTCGAGAAGCGAGTGGCGCAGTCCCATCGTATTGGTGCCTAAGTCCCATGCGCCCCATGACACCTTTTTTGTGTGACACAGGGGCCCCTCATGCAGCTGAGGGTTGTCTTGCTTCCAAGCTGGGTTTCTGCGGAGAATTATGAAGGCAGGCTCTTACACCTGGATCCTGCCTTCAGCTCCCTGTAGGTTTCAGCCGATGGTCAGGGCAGTGCGTGATGTGTGTGTGTTATACACCCGAGTCTTCAACTGCTAGGACAGGGTCCCTTCAGAAAATCCTCCAAAAAAACCAAACTGCCGTGGTGTCCCAGAAAGCAGGGCAACCAATGCAAGCACAGCAGCAGCTTTGCTGTCCCTCTGAGAGGTAGGAAAGCCAGCAGCAGCAGCAGCAGAGAAACAGCTGTCCGGGGGGGGTTCCTTTAAGCACGCGTGTCTGCAAAGGGCAGGCAGCAGCACCAGGAAGTAAATGCTGCCGCCAGGCCCTGCCAGAAGCGATTCCGGGTGTCTTTTTTTTTTTTGAAAGAGCATCCACCCATCTGGACGCTCTTTTTCGAAAATGCAGATCAATTTTTTTCGAAAAAGCAGATCGATAGATTTCGCATAATGCAATCTAGATGCTGTTTTTTGAAAGAGGCATGTAGTCTAGACATAGCCACAGGGAAAAATTAGTGGGTCCTCTGTACACACCAGCAGCCAAGATCTCCAATTTCCCCTTTCTCCCATCTCCACAAAACAGGTGTGTCGTGGTGTTCAGTGCCTCTAGGAGAAGGGGAGAGAGCACAGCGGGCTTGGGGGAGTGGCAGAAAGAGACAGGGAGGAGGCTTGGGGGAAGGGGTGGAGTGGGGGCAGAGCAGAGTGGAGAAGGTGTGGGAAGAGATGGGGTAGAGTTGGAGTGGGGGGGAAAGGGTGCAGTGCAGGCAGGTCCTGCAGTAGAGGGAGAGGAATCAAGCACCCCGCAGCTAGAGCAGAAGTCAGTGCCTATGGAT